TCGCATACTGTAAGCAGCGGGTGAAGGGCCGAGGCCACCTGCGCCACCGCTCAATGGCGCCGCTGGGATGGCGAAGAGCGCAGAGCGTCCTCAACAAGTCGTGACACCCCCTCAACACAAACAGAACGCGCCGTTGTGAGTGCGGACACGAAGACSACACCACAACAGAGCCGCAACAGCTCTCCCCGTAACCCACGGGATGATGGTGTCGAAGCTGGGAGCCGGTGACGGGCACCTCCGCCTCCACACCCTGCAAACGACCGCCAACCGGACCACCGTCGGCGATCAGGCGCCAATCAACGCACGACGATGAGCGAGGGTGAACGCAACRATCCACAACCCGGCACCACGGCATAGGAAAGCCCCGACAGGCGCGACCGACGCCAACGACGACCGAGCAGTTGTGAAATAAGCCCTCCGAGAGAGACGACCATGGACCCGCACGGCGCCGCAAAAATGTTCGCTCGACCACCAAAGAACGACTCGCCCGTCGCTCGCAAACTGGAAACCACCCAAAGCGTGTGCATAGAGTCCCTCATAACTCGAGTACAAGGTCCCAAAACCCACGCCCGGAACGTCGCCTTCGTCGACTGCAAGGGGGCTGCTAAGCACGCAGGCCCCTATAAGAGTGCAAACGGGACTCCGAACCGCCAACCACCAACTATTTGGCTCATCCGAAGGGTGCTCACTGGGCCATCCGCCGAGGGACCTGCACATGTCCCTTTCCAGCAAGCTGACTGAACAGACCCCAATGGCGATGTCCCCCTCGGGACCTCATCCCTTTCCGCTCTCAATAAGACGCCTCTGGACCTTCGATCCAGGGAGACCCCCTTTTCTCGGGGCCGTTCCTACGCCCGAGTGGCAGTGCGCGGTATCTGCTGCCCCCACAAAATTCGACACCTCAAAAGTCTGTCCCATCTCCGTCCCTTCCACACACAAAGGGATAAGGGGAAGGGCCGGGGGAAAAAAAAATACATAAAAAAAAATACATAAAAAAAAAAAAAAGGAACGAAACAAACAGAGAAAAGGCCAAGCAACTTTTATGCCTAGCGACTCAGATCACGCCGTGGTGTGGGAGTGAAAAGTTTATGGGGAGCCTGGCAGAATCGTGCGTCTGTTGTGGGGTTATGTGTTGGCGAACATGACCGGACACGCACTCCAGAAAAAGAAAGGGGGAAAGAAAAGTCAAGGATGACTTGACAAAATCGTCATTTCAATTTGTGTTGGCCCCGAAAAAAACTGCATCCTATAGAAGAAGCGAGGCCAAAAACCCGACGGCCATAAGCATTTCCGTGCATGTCCCGSAGAACACCATGGAGCCAATCAGGTACTGCCTCCAGTGAAGCAGGCCACCATGATCACGCGCACG